TGCTGTGTAGTTGTTGTGTTGTTGTTGTGTTGCTGTGTAGTTGTTGTTGTTGTTGTTGTGTTGTGTAGACGTGTGACCGGGCCTCAGGCTCCGTGTTTGGTTTCTGAGCGGCGACCTGCAGCTGAAGTTCAGACAGTCGTGACCTTTCAGCCTCGGCGTCGTGCCGGCAGCCTCTGAAGTTGCTGCTGGTGGGCTGGGACGACTCGGGTAGTTCAGAGGTGTGTCCCTCCTCTGGACCCAGGTGGTTCTGGACCCAGGTGGTTCTGGACCCAGGTGGTTCTGGACATCCAGGGGCAGTAACTGTGACTGTCAGGAGCAGTTTTTAAAAACTCGAGACGCGTTTGTTGAACGAGGTTCTTCTGAACGTCGGTGGAGAATCAAACGGTTTCCAAACACACGGAGACGATTATCTCCAGGGAATAAACAGAACGATGGTGAGCGGGTCATTATGGGATGTTGAGGTTTCAGCTGAAATATTTGGCTCTGGTTTTGGATCATCTGCAACTCGTTAACTTCCAGAAGCCACGAGCTGCAGGTGATGAAGCTTCAGGTGATGAAGCTTCAGGTGATGAAGCTTCAGGTGATGAAGCTTCAGGGTGGAGGATGAAACGTCTCAGCACAAAAACCAGCCGTCCAGATGAGCTGTTGTTGGATTTTTGAGCATGGACTTTGGTGTTTTGACTGTCAGAGTGTTATCTGTGCCGACCTGTGTGTGCACGTGTGTGTGCACGTGTGTGCAGATAGGCAGCTGCAGGTGACCCCTGCAGGACAAACAGAGTTTAAACGAGTTTAAAGTTTATTTTGAGCAGCGAAGCTGCATGTTTGACGAGCTGGCGGTGGTTTAGAAGCAACAAGAGGAGGAGAAGAGGAGAAGGGGAGAGGAGGAGAGGAGGAGAAGAGGAGAAGGGGGAGAAGGGCTTTGTGAGGCAGAGAGGAGCTGGCAGAGGGAGGGAGGGAGGACTGAGTCACAGCAGAGGGAGGGCAGCTCTTCCCGTCCTTCTGCTCATAAAGTCCCGGAGAACTTGGCTGCAGAGCTGGTTTAAAGTCCAGGATGGCACCACGCCCTTAGCCGCTGCCTCCCCCTCACCTCCCCCGCCTCCCCCTCACCTCCTCAGTTGTCCCGGTCCTCCCAGACCCGGGACACTCCACTTCTGAGCAGGCCTGATGCCGACCGGCCCCCCTGGAGATGTGTTCCCGGCCCTGGTGGTTGTGGGTCACATCGTGACCTTGATCCTGGCTTGGAGGTGGAGAGTCCACAGAAAGGAAGGTAAGAAGACGGGACTCTGTCCCCTGTCCTCTGTCCCCTGTCCTCTGTCCTCGTGCCGGCGCTCCGTGCCTCTCGAGCTCTCTGAGGTAATGGCGAACACTCCTTCTGTTTCCTGTCTGGCCCCTTCAGGCTCACATGCTCAGATTAACCCTGTAAATGCTGACAGGAGGCCCAGCCCCCCCCGATCCTGCATCAGTTTACTCCAGAGGACGGGGTGGACTCTGAACAGAACCGGACGGGGTGGACTCTGAATCCGTTTTCTCAGAACTCTGTTCAGCCCCAACAGGAAGGAGAAAACCCTCTCAGGTATGCAACCTGAAGGTTACCTGCCGGCAGCCACACCTGAGGCGGGTCGGTTCCACTGTTGACACAATGCAGCGCTGTGGGGGGTGGGGTGGGGCACACCCTCAGGTCTCTGCCTCAGTCCTGCTGGTCCACATCAAAGCAGGAACCTGTCGGCCGCCACAAAGCTCCTCCACCCAGAATGTTCACCAACCTGACTGCAGGCCACGCCCCCTGCAGTTCTGGCTGCAGGCCACGCCCCGTGAAGTTCTGGCTGCAGGCCACGCCCCCTGAAGTTCTGGCTGCAGGCCACGCCCCCTGAAGTTCTGGCCGCAGGCCATGCCCCCTGAAGTTCTGGCCGCAGGCCACGCCCCCTGAAGGCCTCGCGTGTCTCGTAAAGAGTTACCTGCACAGGTGTAAGAAGGTTGTTAGAAAAAGGTTTTATGTTTCAGCATCAGCTGAACACGTGGAACAAACAAGAGATTCCAGCCCCGGACCCAACAGAACCGCAGCAGAACCCTCAGTGGGTTTCTGCATCAGTCTCTCCTGGTTCTGGAGGAGTTCTGGCCCGCTCTTTGTCCATCGATGAGGGTTCTGCTCAGCTCTCTGAAGGTCCACCACAGCATCAGTCAGGTTCGGGTTCTGGACTCTGACTGGACCTTGGTTCTGTTCTGCTGTAGATCAGTTGCTGTGTTTGGGTCATGGTTCTGTTGGACCCAGTTTGGGCCAAGCTTCAGCTGTTGGACAGATGGACTCATGTTTGGTCTCCAGAGGAGTTCTGGTCCACTCAGGGACTGAAGGAGCTCGAACCACCGGTCCTGCACCACCGTGCTGACAGCTGGAGGAGCTGTTGGGGTTCCTCCTAAACCTCAGATTGGACCGGGCCGTTCTGACCCAGTTAACGAGCAAATAATGGTTCCTGCCCCGTCCCAACATGCCGTCCAGAGGACACACGGAGATTAGGTCTTCTTTCTGACCACATGAAGCCAACGTTTGTTCTGTTTTAGCTTGTTGAATGTTTCAGCCGAACTTTAGCTGCCTCGCTCGCCGCTACACCTGTGGACTCACCTGGGACTGTCAGAGCCCAGATGAGGTCCGGTCCAACACACAGCCTCTTTGTTGGACACGTTTTGTCTGTGGCTTTGGTTCAGCTCACTTTATGAGGACGTTAAAGGAGGGAGCTAAATGCCGTGCATTCTGGGTAAACCCCTCCCCTTGGGTCTGGTTCTGGTCCAGAAGTCTCGAGGTTCCTTCAGATGAATCTAAGTCGAGCGGCCATGTTGTTTTTAGACAGAAGAGGCCATGACCTTTGGCCTGCTGACTGAGGCCTGTAGTCCGTGCACGGTCTGACCTTCAGGGTGAATCGTCTCGTACCGCAGACAGTTTGGATCCACCAGACGCTCCTCTCTGGCACAACTTTTAATAATTACACCAAGTTTGAATTTGGATCAATTTATGCACAACTGTTAGGCTCCTCCCACTTCCTGTAGGCGCTCAGGTCGTCTCTGATCCCTCAGCTGACAGTTTCCTGCTTCGGCTGTCAGGAACCGGCAGACCTGCCTTCAGACGGTGGTCTGGACCCGTCCGCTTGAGTCCTTCAGTCCTGTCAGCTGCTTTTGACCAGACGGAGGAAACGTTTTAAAAAAGACCCACACATGACTGCTGGACGTAAACTGAGGACCGTGTCCCCTGGAGACAACTGAGGACTGTGTCCCCTGGAGACAGTCACAACAAACCGTCCTCCTGACCCTCTGGACCAGCAGGACTCTTGAGTCCAAAACCAGAGATCATAAACCCGTCCCAGCTGATCCAAACACCAGCTGCTGCTGCGTGTCTCTGAAGTCTCCGAGGATCAGAGACGGTCTTTGTCTTCAGCATTAAGACAGATTGTCCCTGATCCGTTTAGGACGCCACGCCCAGATCTGCAGCAGCATCTGGAGGAACCGGCAGACCCGAGGTTCTGTTCTTCAGACCGGGATCAGGTTCAGTTTTAGTGCTGCGCTCGGCAGCTGTGACTCATGTTCCGGTCGTCTTTCAGCGAGACAATAACAGACTCGGGGGGGACGGGGGACTGAGGACGGGGGGGGGGGGGGGGGAGGGGCTGAGACGCTGCTCGCTTCAAATGAGACAATGTCAGAGGACAGAACCGTCCTGCTGAGAGGTGGACCTGTCGGCCCGTTTCAGAACCACAGAAGCTGATGGTTTCAGTAAAAACTCAGGTCTGGAGGTCTGTCAGGGTTCAGGACTCTGATGGTGGACTTGAGACCAGACTAGAGGTTCTGGACCCGGTTTGAGACTCTCATCTTGACTCTGGACTGACTCGGTGTTCCAAGTCCTGATCTTGAACGTGACTCGGAACTTGAGTGGAAAGACGACTTGTCCCACGTCTGAGACACGGAGGCTGAAACACAAACAAACAAACAAACAAACAAACAAACAAACAAACAAACAAACATCAAGATAAACTTCTAACAACGCTCTGATTGAAATGTTTCCTGAAGTTCTGAAAGTTGGTCCGTTTCCTGGTTCTGGACGGTTTTGATGGATTATTGGAACCAGATTTCATCTGAGGACGCCTCCTGTGGGGGTTCTGATGGTTCTGGTGGACCTGGTTCTGGTTCAGAACGGAGGAGAACTTTTTCTGCTCCAGCTTCACCTGGTGATGCGTTCACTGAACCTGGGAAAAGAGGAAGTTAAAATGAGTTCAGAACGACTGGACTCTGACCCAGAACTTGGTGGTTCTGGTTCTGGTTCTGAGTGGACCAGAAGTTTTAGAACTCAACATCAGCTCTGAGGAAAACGTTTGTGGATCAGAACAAAATGGTTCTGATGGTTCTGAAGTGGGACCAGGAGGCAGAACCTGGACCGTTCTCAGACCTGAGTCCTCCCGTGACTTTAAGAACCAGAACCGGGCCGGCCTGTTTGAAATTAAAGTTCTGAGCAGCCGCCAGACTGGACCGGAACCTGCAGAGATAAAAGCAGGAAAATAACCCTGCAGCTGAGTCAGAACCGAACCCACCTGTTGTGGGTCAGATGGGTCCAGCTGCTGCAGAATCCAACAGAACCAGAACCTGACCTTTGATCCCTGAGACCAGACCCACACCAGAACAGGGAGTCCTCCCTGACTGGATTAGCTTCTGGTTTGGGTTTTGGGTCTGGGAGTGGGAGAGAGGGGGGAGGGGGGGGGGGTTCGTGCAGCTGAACAGAACCGGAGTGGGCGGGGCTTGTGACAGAACTGCAACCTGAGCTGCGTGTTTTTCTCCCAGAAGGCAGCGGGGCAGGACCTGCCAGGGAGGGAGGGGCAGGGCGAGGGGCGGGTCCTGAGGAGGGAGGGGCGGGTCCTGAGGAGGGAAGGCGCGCTTGGAGCCTCACGAGCACAAACCTTCAGCAGGATGGCCGAGGTGGAGGACTCGGTTCGGGCCGCGGTCCCGTCCTGGTCCGGGGGTCTGCAGCGGGACTTCGTGTTCCGGAGGAGCGACTTCATCCACGAGATGCGCTGCGAGGACGTGGGCTTCCACCTGTACAGCCAGATGTGCTGCGCAGGTAGGTCCACCGGGTCGGGTTCGGCTTGTTTGGGTCTCTGCTGGGCGGAGATCCAGGCTGGGAGGGGCGGGGGGAGGTGAAGGGGACCATCAGCTCCGTGGGTCCGAAATGGACTCATTAAAATCCCTGAACACCTGAGTTAGGCCCCGCCCACTGCAGGTGCATCTCTTCATTCATTCAAGTTGACGTCAGTGAGCAACTTTCTTCAGTTTCAGCAACTTCTTTAGCAACTTGGACTTTCTGCGCAGCCGCACTTCAGTTTTTCTTCTTTGAGTCCTCATCTGGACCATCTGTTTGTGGCGTTGTCATGGCAACGGTTCGTGTAAACACTCCCCCACGTGTCCGTGGAGTGTGAGTGGACCCGAACGGGCCCGGACTCATCAGAACTGAGCCGCAGATCAAAGTGATCTAATCTGAACCGACTGGTTTGACCAGCAGAGGGAGACAGACACGGCTCGGTTCGGTTCTGTCCCACCTGGACCTGTTAAGATTATCTGAACACCTGAGCATTTGAGCTGATGTCTGGTCTTTTAGCTTCTGTCCCACCTGGACCTGTTGAGATTATCTGAACACCTGAGCATTTGAGCTGATGTCTGGTCTTTTAGCTGTGATGAGCCCAAGGTCTGACAGCAGCTTAATGCCTTTTGATTTCTGCACTTCTGATAAACTTAACAGCTAAAACATTTAACAGCTAAAGACAAACTCAGACAGCTGAAAACAAACATTTAACAGCTAAAAACAAACATTTAACAGCTAAAAAC